TACACATGACCCATTGTTGCGTTACTACACATGACCTATTGTTGCGTTACTATACGTTACCTGTACGTTAGGGTCCATATCATTTTCCGGTGTTTTCTGCGCAGCCGCAATGTAAAGGTCTTTTATTTCGTTGTACATCTCACGTGACATGATACTTGAGATGTTGGGCCGCTGACCGGTTGCGCCCCCAGGCTCAGTGGGTACGAGGTCCCTGTACCTAAACAGAAACGCGGGAAACATTATCAACCAATAAACTGCACAAAACATATTACTGTGGATGGATGGATGGATGGATGGATGAGAAAACGGAGAAAACGTGAATCTATAAATAGTAACTGCATTTACCGTGTATTTGCACCCAACCATCTTTTTAATGTGTTGCATGCCTGAAAAAAACACCGATGTTATCTTTAAATGTGCTTAAAAAACAGAATCAGTTTCACTTGTATCACTTCATAATTGCAATCCCACAATGCCTTTCAAACTTACCTGTGATTGCATGGATTCATTGGTATAGCTGACGGCCAGTGCCATGAGTGCTGTGAGGTTTTCTGGCTGAAGATTCAAACATCTGAAACAAAAAAGTAAATGTAGTTAACTTGGTAATTTCCTTGGGCTTCCTGTGCTCTTTAGCACTCAGGCAGGTTAACCCAAAGTGTGTGGAGCACCTCCAAAGGACATTAAACAGACAAACAAGTGACTATATSAATGATWGGAATCTTATTTAAACTCACTTGTTGAGGGCAACAATAGCCACAGTATCTTGCTCATTTTCAGCTTGGCTTGTTCCAAGATATTGCCAAGCCTAGGAGAAATAAAACAAGCAAAGTCTTTAGAGTYATTTTMATCYGTMTGTGAAACAATTACTACTAGTCAGTGTTTATAGTAACTATTARRGTGYAGTAGGCTACCAAARGGGTGTTTGCATAATTAGTTTGTCGCATGTCATAAGTTAAACTATTGGGAGCTAATAGGGGGTAATAGTATTTAATAGTACAATTCCTTTTCACAGATGGATGAAAATGACTCTATTATTACTTCACTAAACCTTACGATAAATACATTTTCTAGAACAGATGTCATGTTGAAGAAATACTTACCTCAGCATGATTGGGGTTCTGTCTTACCTGGAAAATATACCRTTATAATGTATTGTTAACTATTCTCTTCATTTTATATAAATTATGATGGTTGACGGAAAGTAATCAACATAATGCATGGATAACACTGGGATGCAAAGCATATTAAACTTTTGTGCAATTAAGTTTCTCTGTTTAGTCATCTCRAAAAAAGTGTAGACCATGATAAAATTTCCCCAAAATTTCTCAGTCAAACCACATTGATAATAGGTGTAGTATACATGGAGTAAAGAATTAAGTTACCTCAGCTTCAAATAATAATATTGCGCTGATCAAATCTCCTTCTTTAAGCTTTTTAAGTCCTTCTTCAAATGCGTTAGGATGTTCTAGTAGTGGATTGTCTTCTTCAAATTTATATTCCTGTAATATAAACACAATTTACTGCCATTACTGTCATCATTATTGCTATCATGTCGTCAAATTAACAAGATTATACCTTGTTTAACGAGGCTTCATATTCACTGTACCATGACTCAGCTTCCTGGTCACCATTCCTGGAAAAAGACAGCAATTAGTACTAAACTTGATTGTAGATTTTATTTAATTATAAGTTATGTATACAAATTATAATCTTTTGTTGAAGTACTGGCATCACAATTATCTCAATCAAAAAACAAGATATTAAAGAAATCATAGCAACAACAAAAGTGCCCATGACACAGAAAATGTAGCCAGTCAGTCAATCAACAGTCAATGTATACAAATTATAATCTTTTGTTGAAGTACTGGCATCACAATTATCTCAATCAAAAAACAAGATATTAAAGAAATCATAGCAACAACAAAAGTGCCCARAACAAGAATTCCTGTAATTTCCCTAAACATCTGAGGTCAAATGTAAGGACTTTGACTGTCACTTGGCGTTTTATTGTCATCAATTAAAAATTGAAACTTCACTGAGTGGCTTTTGAGACTTCTTGCCCAAATTCAATATTAACCAAGAATTAATATTTTGGGCTGCCTGTGTCTGGGGGAGGAACCTCAAAAGCAGTTCAATGAAGTTTGGTGTTTGTTTGATGGCAGAAAAAATGCGAATGGTGGTTAGTTTTTAGCTGCTGGTGTTTGCATTAACAAAAATTGAGGATAACAAACCTAACAAGGTCTTCCCATTCATCCTGCAAATGATTCCAGTAGTCAACATCAGCCTGCAAAAACATAATATGGTCAATGATATTATTATAGCACATGGCAAAGTTTATCTGATCATATRAATATACCTGCTCTGGACCTTGAAAGTCATTCAAATATTCCCCWGTCCAGCCTTCTTCACCGGATCTGAATTTATTATAATCTGATATCCAGTCTTCAACTTCCAGACTATCATCTGTAATCTCTTCTCCTGTTTTGGCATCCACCACCTAAAGTTTACATATATAAATTATAATATTATAATCATTCATTTTTCAGTAGTTTCTTTTCAGTTTCCTGAAGCAGTTTGAAAGTCGCCTGAGTTTCAGGATCTCTTTGAGAGGAGCAACACAGGAGAGAAAGCCATTTCTCATGTTGCTACTCCATAAAGTCCTTTGAGAGGCCTCCCTCTTCTGTGTTGCTCAATCCATACACAATCCCCTTCAAGACCATCAAAAGTAACCATACTTTTGCAGCAAAGCCAGACAATCAATGAACCAGCAATGGTTAACTTCTAAACCATCATTGTACACTCACTACCAGTCTCTTTCCATGCAATATTTTCAACGTACCTGATTATCTTCAACTTTAAACTCCCCATCTCGCAACTTTTGCATAAACTTCATAAACTAAAAAAAAGAAATAATCTTGTGAATTATTCAAACAAYTTAAGTGCTATCRYAAAMCAAAARACTCTGGTTCTTACTTTWGAATTTGCAAATTTAGGATCCTGRTTGGTTTCCAGTAAGTTTCCAGCAATYGAAGCAAGCTGTGCGTTATCATCTTCAACTTTGTATTCTTCAACCCTTAWAAAATAGTGATTCAAGTCAGCAATTAAAAACCCATCACATGCATCTGTGCTTATCTCACATCTGAAAAATTTTGCTTTCTTTTACTTTGAGCCCCCTTGTAAAGGAACTTTCAAAAACATAYCATTTTTTAAAACAAACGGCTGTAAAGTTTCTTGCATACATGTGGTCCTTTGTATTGATTATTTTTAGCTTTCCAATCATATTTGTAGTTGGAATTGTAGAGTAAGCAAACTTACCATTTACCATCATCATGAGTTTCATTGTCATGTACATCTCTATACCAGAAAAACAAGAAAAAAAGGTTTGAAGATGTCAACGGTCTTGTTAAATTTTATATKTTATTTCTTCTTTTATCAGATAATACTCCAATTTCGAGTTCTGGTTTGCTCTGTGTTAGCCTCAAAACCAAGTAACATATTCTTTTGTTTCATTGATAGCTCGAAAAAACGAATGGAATTTGTGAAGAAAGACAATAAATTTGATTTGAAATCTCACACTTCTACGCTCACAATAAGGAATATTTTGCGCACAAATGAGGCTAACACAGAGCATTGGAGAATTCGAAACTGGAGTATTCCTTTATCTATTCTTTTCCATGTCAACAGTAAATCAAGCTTATTACACTTTCCATCCATTCATTTATTCATTGTTCACTTGTTCATTCATTCAGCTAACCATTCTTCTATCCAATTATTCATTTTCTTGTGACATTTTGCATTTTTTTTTCTATTCATTTTTATTTCATTTAAATATAAAAAAAAAACAACTCAAGAAGTCACTTCCAACCTCACATTATCCAGGTATTCATGWGCCCATTTTATTGGTGTTTGATGGAGCTCTGAAAAAAATCAAACTATCTTAATTGAAAATATCCAAGAATACTTAAATTATTACAAGAAGGACTGTTCCTACCTGCTMTAGGATGATGTCGCTGAGATTCTTCATATTCTTTTGCCCAATCTGAAATAGTCATATCTACCTTGTAAGCATATACAATGTAGTAGCTCAAGCTTTTTAATGTTTCTCAGATTAACTGGAGTGTTTTCATCTCTAAATACCTTGTGATCTTCTTGCTTCTGGTGATAAAAACTCTGAAGCCCATTCACTRCTTACTAAATCAGCCACACCAGGAGCTGGAACACAATGAATAATAAATATTGACAGAATTATAAGTAAGTAATATTATGCAAAATGCTGGCACAAATGTGGACTAAAGATTTAAGTCAGTAGAACCTATTGCACACAGAGGAAATTCTTCTTGATTGTTTGACCCGTTGTGCTGCAATTTCTCATACACTATAAGCATAATTTATTCCAATTAAATTTAAGTTACTGTTAATTCATCAATCCATTCATTTATTCATTGATCCTTCCTTTCATTCATTCAGTCATCCATGTATTCAGCCTTTTGTCTTCACCTCTGACTGGTGTGTGATGTAAATTCCGTTCTTCTATTTCCTTCATTTCATGTATCAAAGCATCCATTCTAAAAGTCTGAGGTGGAGCATGGCTTCTTGGGTCCCTGAGGAATTCCTCAGYCAACTAGGAACAGGAAACATGATAACTTTCATGAAGGTATTTATGAACAATATTTTTTCGGCAAAAAACGACAGTAAGCATGCATTCAAAGTACCCATAAAAATAAAAAAAACAAAGCAAATCCTGGCCTCCCTTGCAGCTTTTTTGAGAGGTGTTTATTTCCTTGGCTGCAAGGGAGATCCAGGCTGCTGGAAATTAAGATACACAGCCCAATGAGAAAGAATATACACCATGAAAGACAACTACATTGCAAACTGGTACCTCATGTTCAGGTGTTTCGTGGAATGGTTTTTCGTGCTGTTGGTAAAAACAGAACAAAGTTTCATAATCTTCAAAACACTTCAATTGATATCAATATGCAAAAGGTTAGTGTTTGGCTACACTATTCATTATGGGTTCCCTGTGTTCAAGTCCCTCAAGAACCTTACCAGATGGGATTGTGGGCCAAATCTGTCTTGTATGAGACCTTCCTATGACATTAATGCCAAAGTAATCATTAATAGTTATATCTTATTGTATGAAACATAGAAACAGAAATGAAGAGTGCAAGAGAAGCAAACACATYCGGCACAGAAATAGTTTGACCATGATTGTTGTTTATATCAGAGGAGAGACATTATAGCAGCCAATTTCTTTTTCATTTTTTTTTCTTAATTTCTTTGAGTATGTGATCATCAAACCATAATTATATCTCCAAACTCTTATTCAATCAGCCAATAAGAGCTCACATTGTATAGCGATACTCAATATGATGTAAGCCTTTGTTTCATGTGCCAACCAGAAGACGATTGACTGTTAGAGCAAAGCGACTTGTGAAAAGCCATTCTGATCATAGTTGGCACATTAACATAAAAATGAGTTTGCTGATAAACATTGAGTATCGCTATAATCAATAGTAATAGAGTTTAAATTTAACCTACCTGATGAAGTGATTTGTCTTGTGTGAAGTGAGATACAAGCTTCATGAGAGGGTTTGCACCTCCACATTCACCTTCAACCAAATCTCTCATCGCCATGRCTCTACAAGGACATAATAACAGCAYACAATGCATGAATGAATAAAAGGATGGATGGGAATGTGGATGGTTGGATAATATGCATCTRAGGTAACCACTTAAACATCATCAACTATTTCAATTATTAACTTTTTGTTTAGTAAATGGCGTACTACTACAAACTAAACCAATGGGAAGATCTTGAAGGGTCCTGGATCATTGTAAGATCAAGAATAAATAATTCAGAGTCATTGTTTCTTAACATCATTGAGTTTTGAAGACACAGAAACCAAAACTGCAGCATACTACTGCATAAGTAAATAATAGAAATGATAATCTCAAGCAAACCTGTCTTTAGACAAAAATCAGCTCTTTGAACAGTATTCAAAGCAAATTAAGCTTACCTTATGCAACAAGGTCTGTTCCAAAGAAAACTCGAATCCACAGCTTACCTTGAAAATTGACGGATGTAAAACCGATCAAATCAGTAGAARAAGTCTCTATAACATCAAAAAATCCATTTTAAACATCACAAGACGAAATCGATCGTAAAAACTCTATAAATTTGAGCTTAACATTTCATTAGAGATTAAAATCAAAGGGAGGCTACACGATTTACCGGGCTTCCTTTGTTATATGGTAGACCGCTGACTTGAGCCTTGGTTTCCATAGTGACAGATTTGGCAAAGAAACCAGGAAGAAATACCTCGTTGTTGATTCTATTTGCGTAAAATATGCCTGCAAAACGGCCAAAATACTTCACTCCTAACGAAGTTAGCATACATAATACGTTGAAGGATCTCTGGGTGTCTTTTCTTGGGAAAGTTTATGATTTAACTCCGCTTTGCGAGCAAGAAGCTGGTAAGAGTCCATTTTTCATGCATCTAAGATGCCGCGTGTTTTTCATCTTCGACGGCCTTTTTGCGGCATGAATTTAGCTGGAAACTCTTGGTTAACTTCCCTCTTCTTAGCTGCTGCCGCTTATTATAAGATTTATAGCATAAAGTATGCTTTATTTCCAACATTCCTGGCTCAGAATATTGTTGAAATGCCAAAAATAAATATCATGTTGCAACGCGTAGAATGAATTAATCTTGCTTACTGCTAATCCTAATTTCTCATTTTATAGGCGATGTTATGCTTAAACCCATCATAGAATATGCTGGGAAAGACATTACACATTGGTTTGACAAGAAAACCAAAGATGTAAGTAATGCAGAGGTGTCTGTCATGTAGAGGTGTCTGTGATTTATATTTAAGATTTTTTTTGATATTTTTTATAGATAAGGACCCATGTCGACCCAGTGACAAATTGCAAGAATTATTACACGCCAAGGGGACGATTTATACACATACCACCCCCCTGCCCTCGTACAGATTGGGCAAATGACTTTGGTCGTCCATGGTGGAAGAATGACACTTATTGTATCGGCGTCTTGTCAGGCAAGACTCGGAAGATACGAATAATAAACACCCTAACCTCTCAGGAACAGATTTTGGAGGTAAAAATTGTTCAACAACAGAATTTAGTTATTACAAACTTGATGGAAAATGTTGTTGAAAATTTTCTTGGTTCAACTTCTTCAAATGTCTAAGTTGTACAATAATGTTTTTTCATCCTCATAGGTTTGTTCAGAAGAAATCCTGACAGAAATTCAAGACCGTTACATTAAATACAACAGTCATGCTCCAAGCTACACTTGGAAATACAAAGGAAAAAATTTAGACATGAATAAGAYGCTCATAGAAAATGGAGTAGACGATGAAAGTGAAGAATTTTTCAAACTGGGAATGAACGAAGAGCAATTCTTACCACCCATTCATCTGTATTTCAATGACGACTTAACGGAAGCATAAATAGCAAAAAATAAGGGTGTAGGATGTGGTAAATAATGGCAATATTGTATAAAGGCAGTTTTAAACTTTGTGGGTAATAGTTTTAGATCAGGAGAGCATCATTTTTTTAGAAGACCGCTGTATTATAAGCCAGCTAAAAAATGTAAATATTTCAATAATTTTCATTTTGTTTTTATTATTTAACTATGAGTCAACGTTCTCGTATAAACCAGTAGTCTGGGTTATATCCCTTGTAAAATAATTTATCTATCTTTGGTATTTTGAAAATTTCTGGGATATAACGCATACTAATAAACCAATCACACTGTAAACATAGTTAATCTAGTTCCAAAACTAAGACAAGATATATATTTTATGTTTATACTTGCTTCTAATGTAAAGAAAACTGTTTTATAAATTTTGGAAATTACTTTCTCTACGTTTCTAAGCCGTTAATAAACAAGAAACTCAAACAGCATATTGCTTTTGGTAGTCGTTCCTTAGATATAAGGCATACACTAAATTTCCTGTTTACTTATAGCAACAACTGGCTAGCTGGTAGGGTCAGAATCTGCTGTAACCTCCGTAGCTGCTTTTGGATAGTGAGGGATGGGGTAGGGCTTGGAAAACATCTCCCTTTGGAGTTGCTGTGCCTGGCTGAAAGTCAAAGCTTTGCAGTCTAAAGTCCTGTTTACACTTGAGATTTTTGCAGTGTGATAATCGCCACTTTGTTATAGCAAAACTCAAATCGTACGTGTAAACAGCCCTGATTGTGATTTTCAAGCATGTTTAAACTCGCGATAATCGCCGCAAGAATCGGTTTATGTTCCTACAAATAAATCACAATTATAATGTAATATTTGTTTTTTATTAAAACATCTTTTCAATCAAGGATCAACCTTTAAGTTTGTTTTATTTTTGTGCAAAATGTTTTTTCTTGGTGGTTGTGCTTCTGTTGTATTTTCCACAATATAATATCGATATATAGATTTTTTTGGTTATTTTTTTTATGCCATATTACTACTAAACATCCAGGTTTCACTGCTCTCATAAAACAGCCAGCCTCCATATAAATAGTGTTCTCAACTTACACAGTTTTAAATGCATACGAAAAGATGGTGCTCGCGGACAAAATTTGCTAACAAAATTGTGATGCACCATCAAAGACAAGCAATGTTCTTCACAGAATAAATAAAAATTTGAAAAAACTTCTAATTAGAAAGGTAATTAAATTTTCTCAAGCAATTTATAAAGTGAATTAAATTATGTGCTTAAACCTGCTACAATAGCTAGGTGGAAGGTCTCTTTTTTCCTGCTTTTTTAAAATCATTCCATGGGGAATTACGACTTGATTTCGTCCCTTTTTGGTCATTGGCCAGGGTCATGAAGTAAACCACAGCCAGGACCACAACAACTAAGACACCGATAACCAGAAATGTGTAGGTATTTGTGGGTGAATTTGGTGGTAATCCAATCTCTCTTAGGTGGATCTCAGCAGGTAAAAACGAGGGATTCAAGTCAAGAGCCTGTCTGAAATGAACCCCAGCTTCTTCATAGTCACCAGCAGCTTTGAGGATTTCTCCCAGTGTAAAATGCTGCAACCAACAGTTCTGGTCAGAGGGTTGCATTTCAAGTGATCGTCGTGTTAGGTAGATTGCATCTTTCTGGAAGTTTAAATTAAACAGCACCTTTGCCAAGTTGAGCAAAACATCAGCGTTGTTTGGTGAAGTTTCCAAGGCTTTTCTGAAGCATTCAATTGATTGATAAGTATTTCCTCTGATTCTCCAAAAGTTTGCTATTTGGTTGCAGACAACGACAGAGTTTGGGCTCTAAGAATAGCAAAGTAACATGGATATTTATTACTGGATATGAATTTGATTTTCGATAATAGTTTTACTCCTAATTGCTCAGATAATGCAATTAATTTATAAAAATAAATAAGTACAATGTCTAATAAATGAATAACATATAGACACTGAAATATAAGAAACACTTTGTACTCACCTCTTCCAAATTTCTTTTCAAATTCTGCTCGATTTCATTCATGTCTATTTCTTCTACTTCTGTTTTTTTGAATATCATTGCGACTTCTGGTTCTGCATATGGCGGGTGCTGTTCGCGTAGTCGTATGCCGTCAAGATGGTCATATATTGTTTCATTGGCTGGTACACCACACGTGAGAGAAGGAGACGGGAACATCTGTAAGGCTGTTGGACCCTGTACTGCTACTCCTGACCTGAAAAAAACATTGAAGTAAAATGATTAAAACGGAATAGAAATCGAGTCGTTATAATCAACCTGTGCAATAATAATCATTATAAAATAATAACTATTATTATCTATTACTTGTCAGCAGTTTTAATAGGAATTTTTAAGTAAACATTCACCCAGCCTTTTCTGTGAAAAATTGCTACAACATAATCAGGGATCAACAATTCACTTTCAAAATTTTCAGAATTTACATATTACATATCCATGAATTCTATTATCATCTTGGCCAAAACAAATCAATTCATAGTAACATTTCATAGCTTAGAGAAAAAACTTCAAATATATAAAGATATAACAGGTTCAGAGTTATATTGAGCAAAGAAAAATTCAGTTCATTGCAAAAAATTGACAATTTAAAACTCTTGCGGGAATAATTTCGAGTTAAGCTTAAGTCTTAAAATTACAAATTCACAATTTTTCGAACTTTTATATTTTAAGTTCTTGAGCTTTTCACGGCATATTGAAAATTTGTAGCAGATTTTAGCAGGTATTTTTACGAGCATACGAGCGAAGTTAGGGGAAGTTAGAAATTGACAATCATTGCACCTGTGCTAGATAATTGACCTGAAAACAAAACATGCAGAAACAGCACTCTGGAACGGTTATGCATTAAGCTTATAAAATTAAAACTCGACCACAAGCAAGGAAAATTTTAAYCCAGAGATCGTTTRAGCCACTAAATATAATCGTTGTTTGTATTAAAAACCCTACAGATTGTACTGAATTTATACAGCCACGAGGTGCAAATCAATTTATTCCGAAGTGAGTTAACTTCGATGTTTTGAGCTGCAATAAGCTTTAAACCACTCGCATGAAGCCAGTAATAAACACAACGAAATCTCCTTTTCTCTTTCAAAGACAATTTCACGTCAACTTGATGTATTGGTTTAACAGATAGAAATTTGCAAGCGATTTCATAACGATGATACTTTGRCAGTGCTTGTCTTGTCAACAAACCATTGACAAGAATTAAGTTAAATCCAGCAAGCGAGAATTGCAAAAATACTCACCCCTTAGCAAAGCTTCCACCGTTAGCGCAAGCCTCACAGTTACTCTTTTTGAATGCCACCTCTTTGTTGGAAAATCCTTTCGTTAAAATAGCAAGAATGGGATCAGATTTGACAATATCGGGACTCGTGTTGTCAAAACTCTGAACGACTCCATCCTCGTTGAGTTTCCAGTGTGTTGCTCCTCGAGAGCTAAGCAAACTTGCCGAAACAACATAGAGTACTAAGAAAGGTAGACGTCTTCGGCCTCCACTCATAGTGGAGACAAAATCAAACAGATATTTCTGTTTGAATTTACACTATTTCTTTCTCAGTAATAAGTTTACAAGAACACTCTTGAACCATTGACATCGCGCATGCCCTCTGAAAGACTCTATGGAAAACGTACCAATGGGGGTCCCCGTGCTCTTRTAATTTGTTTGCMAAGCTAGTTTTTCAAAATTAGTTTTTATTAGCACTTATTTACAAAAACCGATAAAATTTTTAGCACTTTTAGAGAAAGCTTAGAAATTAATTGATAAAAGAAACAAAGTGGGCTTCATATAAGCTTATATATTATAGCCAACAGCTTTCTTTTTTGTAATTTTTATAATTTTTTCTGTGCAACCTACTATAATAATAACAATACACAAATATGCCTCACATATGATCGACAAAATATACATTTTATTCAATTWGTTATCAATACAGCTTTAGACAGATTCTAAAAATGGCTGACATTATTCGCAGTTGTTTTACAAGGGCAGAAGATGCAGAGAGTGTGGTTCCAGGGATTTTACAATTCCAACCACCCTTTCTTTGAAGGAAAAAGTCTTTAAAAATATGAGACTTTATTTGCCAAATCAGTTAGCCCAACAGTTTGTTTGGTGTGAATCCAGTGGACGATCCAATATTTATTTTCTTAAAATGTCATTGAGAGGGGTGGTGTAGGGATTGGACTGTATGGCTTTGCCAAAATTATACACTAAAGTTTCAAAACAGCTCCATGCGGGTGAATCCAGTACTGTATTGGWGCAATAATATTGAGCTTGTGGTTAATCTTTAGCTTTTTTCGTACCTAAAACAAAAAGACACATAAAATAATATGCAAAAATGTCTATAGCATTCAAGAAACTTATCTTAACTAACGAAAGCTGCCTAATTTCTTGAGAGCATGTGCCATTTACAGTTAAAATGATCGAGATAACTGTCTACAAAATTCTGAAATCATGAAACTGAACCAACGCAAGGGAAAGGATATATACCATAATTAACAAACATACCATGGAAATCTTTAATTGAATATAATATTATTATTGCTTAGCCCATTACACAGTGGTTTTATATTGATCGTTTTCAATCATTCCCATGAGATTCAAAAGATAAAAGACTGGCGGCCATGTTGGAGGAATGAACAATAGATACTAATGAGAAATCTTTTGTTGAAGTTCATCCAAGATGGCCGCTGTGACGTATGGTGAAAACGAAGAATAGTTGAAGCAAACTTACATCCAAGCTTGAAATAACGTCACAATAAATCCAGATTTCTTGGTGTGATTTCTAGCAAAAAGTATACAAAAAATATTAAATTTTTCTCTTTTGGAGAGAAATTCATGGAGATAATTTCCCCATAGTGGGAGGGGTGGGAACAAATGTATACAGTCTTACAGTATTTATTTACGCATACCTGATATTTAGCATTGCAATAAGGTAGTTGTCCGCACTTAAGTATTTTACATACTTCTYTCCAAGCAACAGAAATTTTGCTTGCACAGCAGCCATCGTTACTAATAATCCACTTCCCTCTCTGATGGTCACTTACACCATATTTCTTCTTCATATTTTGTATAACTTGATTATTACATTTTCTWGGTGATGTTTTCTGTTTATTTTTCTTTGTAACTGATACATTGGTGCACCATGTCCCTCTATAATTACTCTTTTCTGAAGTCATGTCCATTGGCAAAGTTACTTTTGTAATATCTTTTGATTTTTCAGAAGTCTTGTTGCCAAAAGGACTGGTTGTGGAATCARATTGTTTGTCCTTTGTGAGATTTCTATTTATTGAAGATAAATCCTTGACATATTCAGGAGAAAATTCAAGTAAGGAGAAGTTGTCCGCTGCATCAGATAAAGAAGRTCTTGTAGTTAAAAAGTCCACCATGTCGTTCTTGTTTGGAGGTTGATACTTAAATTTCAGTGTGACACCAGATGAGAATCCTATAAAAAATAATGTAAAAATTGGAASAAAGAAAATMTGAAAATGCTTGTATCTTGATTCACAGATTGATCGACAGCTGAATGGCATGATTGACAAGTTGACTGACTTKCCAATGACTGACAGAGTGGATGAATGGATGAAAGATTGAATGGGAATGAAATTTCAATATTTCTAAAAAATAATCACTTACCTTCAGACCAAGGTCGAAATTTTCTACTGTTGTCATGGAGTTTGTCAACAAAATCCACAAGCAACTCATTGACTGTCTTTTCTGAAAAATTTGATTCTCYATTTACACATTTCGTACATTGATTCTTTCCATTATACTGATAAATAGTACACTCCATGAATTCAAATGATCCAGCATCAACCGCAAGTGGAGTCCAGCTCAAATTTGTTAAAAATGTTAAAAATACTTATTGTTAAAAGCAAATTTTCAATTTGCGTGAGAATAAAAGCGAATAAAATTCTATTAAATAATATTCTGACATTTTAGKCTTCTGGTGAAGGTCAAAGCAGATGGTTTCATTATCAAAAAGAACGATTAAATTCCAAACGAAAGTTMAAAACAAAAATTTATACGAATTCTTCCGCCATTTTGAAAGATATCATTACCAGGCTTACTCTACCTTTTGTAACGCGCTGCCTGGAACTTGAGACAGTCCCAATAGAAGCAAGATGGCCGAYGGAGATTATGAAAGCATATTGTGCGTWAAAAATGAAATTAATATCTAYAAAATTCCGCCACGAACCACCAGCAGAGGCTACAGGTAAATGCCATATATGTTAACACCTCTTTCCTCTAGTTTTTAAGCCAATCGCTTCGTTTTCTGAGCAAATATCGCGAAGATATCAACTCCAGCGGATGCGGTAGTGTCTCTTTGAAAACTTCGTTTTGTATTTTAACGACTAGCTATTTTGAGCAATTATGTCATTTTGAGCTTTTGTGAAAGCTTACTCGATCCTTTGAGCTGTTTATTATCGGAAAAAGTCTTTATAAGTATGTTGTAATTCAAATCTTTGAAACCTGGTATGTGAAGCATTTTGAGCAACCGAACTCTGTCTGAACAAACAAATTCATCTCAGTGGGCATTTAGACCGAATTTAAGTTGTCTWATCTATTTTGTTTAATGTATATTTATAATAATTATGGAGTATTTCATCAGAATTCAAGATATTGCCTTAAATCTACGTAATTTGGTATTACTAATGTAATTTTTATACGTCGATTTTGGGTATGCTCGTACCTGTTTGCGCATTTCTACCTTACTTTTATTATGCAAATTGTTCTGTTTTTATTTCTTATAAAGTTTGTTAAAAAACAAAGTTTTTTACATAASTTTATTCAGATTTTGTTCTGAGTAAATGAATTTTTTTCTTATCTCAGAGCAGCTGCCGAAATTTTGTTGTCTCCTTCTAACTTTTAATTATTTTCCTCAATTTAAAATGCAAAAAAGTCTTCTGAAAGTTTGCCAAGGAAAAAGTATTACAATGGTTAGGTGTTTGAATTCAAATGTGTAAACAAATGTGGCACATAGAAACTGAATATCTATTGYRAATAACTTTTCAAATATTTTAACAAAATAAACTTTTTGCAGTGTTACCCAATCAAAAGACACAATAATGTAAAAAGCACAGCAAACCTTGCTTATTGACAAGTTGTTTCAGGCTCTGAAAGCATAACATTAAGAATAAGAAAATTCACAATTAGATAGTTTGAGAAATATTTTGTCATGTGCAAGTACAGAAGGAGCAGTGATATATATTTTTTCCAATCTTTTCAGAGCTGCAGACTGGAATCTACAAACTCCAGACTGGACCGGGAGAATGAGGATTTGTTCAAAAGGAAAACTGTGTTATATTAAAATTGAAGATAAAACTTCTGGTGAGCCACTTATTATTATTTGTCAATTCGAGCCAATAACAGCACAGGGCTTGTGATAGCCATGATATTTATAACCACTAGGAAAATCATATTGGTTGTCAGGCCTTAATTTACAAACAGTCTTTTTGGAATCATACTGTATTGTGCAGCTGTTCTGATATAATTCCATATAATTCCCTAGCTGTGCTCCGTGATCAGATATGGGTCGGTTGGTTGGCTGCTTTGTGTGTGTGTTGTAACTATGTGATTGTCCTCGTAATGATAGCGCCCTCGTATACCACATAACCGACCCGATCACGTGAGATGCGTCCTTCGTAATTCAGCACTCGGGCTGCAAGGATGGGCGATTAGCTACCACTAATTTATTTATTTATTTATTTATTTAATGTTGGTGAAGTCTTTTTAGGTTTTAAGACCTGGTTTCCATATGACCATATGATTGCAATCGTCACCAGTAATCGTTCACCAATCCTATGAAAACACTTTTCAGCAATCCTAGCAACCTTGATGCTCCTCCAGGGGGCCTACTCCCCCCAAACTTGGGTGGGGGTGTGCCTCTGGGACCTCAAAACCCTGACCCTGTTCCAGAGTGAAATCGCTGAAAACGAACCCCCTTCCCCCACTCCCTCCCGGGATTCTCCAGAAAGCCCAGTGATCCCAATGATTGCATGGACACATTCTCCACAAACCTAGCAAAAGTAGCAATTGTAGATAAAACCGTTATTAGGAAATTATATGAATATTACCAATATATAGATATTAGAAATGTATATTAGTCGTGAAGTCCTAATGATCATATATTTAAGAAATAAATAAGGCTCAGCCGTGGTTTATACTCTGATAAATGCACGCTTGGTATTTGAAACACACGAGAAAATGTCAAGAAACACGAGCTGAAAGCGCGTTRGAAATCATCTATATAATAAATTCTTATGTGTGCATTTTTAGGTGAGTTATTTGCYAAGTGTAACGTTGATAATTATCCTGGTCTTGCTGTGGAGGGAGTGCTGGACAGTAGTCGATATTTTGTTCTCAAGATTGAGGATGATAGTGGTAAGATGAAGCTTAATATGCAGTTGTAAAGCAGTCTCTCTTCTGACTATTTGTTAATCTTTGCCGCCAGTTCCCTGGTTGAGAGCTTGGGACAAAAACCAATTGTTTTCCATGTGTCTGTGATATYATTGATTAATATCTTATTTTCACAGGGCGACATGCATTCATTGGCATGGGATTTGCTGACAGAGGAGATTCCTTTGATTTTAATGTCGCTTTACAGGATCACTTTAAGTAAGGAACATTTTTGTTTAAATTTGATTTCTTTTAAATCCTGTTTACATCTATCCCCAATCTAGCATKGKAGGATTTCCCACTATAGGGACGGGGTGGTGAATGGATCTCAACACACTAAACCTTCCATTAACTCTGTTTTCTACTGGTATTTATCGATGGGTTTATTTCTATAGGTGGGTGAAAAAGAGTGCGCAACTTGAAGAAGAAAAATCTCACCCTCAACCTGAACAACCCAAGCTGGACTTGGCATTCAAACAGGGACAGACAATTCATATTAATATCGGAGTAAGTAGAAAAGATTTGACTTGAGATTTTCTGTGCAATAGTTTGTAATTTTTATGATGCCAAGTGTCAAGCTTAGCCTTGACCACAGCCATCATTATGATTTTTTCTGTTGTTGGGTATCCTGTGTATAAAATGGTGACAAGAGGCAAGGGCTCAGTCACCTCTCTGCCTGTTATACAAAGGAAGCCCATGCAGGAGGAGGGAGTTACTGTGTGTAGCAGGGCTCAAAATAACGGCCAGACATATACAGGACAAGATGTCATTCCAAATTCATTTTTGGAAGGTCATGTCGAATTTTGAAAGGACAAAAACTTTATTATACTATTATTTTCTTTTAATTTAGAGGTTTTTGTATTCAGAAAGATCAGCAACCATTTTAATAGCTTGTAAAAGATTTATTTAACGAATTGGGAATTGATTGTTGTTGTTTTTTGTCTAAAAATGTGCGTGGCCAATTTGTCCTTTCAAAACTCGATTTGGYCGGTCATCTAGTGAATTTTGAAGGACATTGTCCTTTGACTGTCYRTTATTTCGAGCCKTGGTGTTGTGCTCTTTTTGTTTACTTTAMATCATTGTTGTTTGGAGAGTAWTGTAGTTTGTAGACATKMCCTGATTGGTTTTTGTTTGCTTACAGAATAAACAATCTACAGGTCGCCCCAAACCTGGTAAATCATAATAATAATATATTATTTGCCTTAAATAAGTAACAATTGATGTTTTGTTTATTTTGCCTTGTCAATCTCCTTCCTTCAGTTCTTTCAATGAAAAGTCTGACTTCCTTCAGGAACTTTTAAAAGTTTATATTTAACGTTTTTTTAGCAGGTGGACCAACTGGTGCCTTTCCACCACCCCCAGGGGGTGTAGCTCCAAAACTAGCTCCTCCCCCAGGGTCCAGTGGTTCAGCATCTCCATTATCTCAAAGACGGATTCACCAAACTCAACCAACTCAGCCTGCTGCCACAGCTTCTAGTGCATTTTTTTCCGACTTTGCTGATTTTGCTCCACCGCRTACACAACCACAAGCACCCCAACCATCTAGTGGTGCTGATTGGGGGGATTTCACCTCTGCTTCATCTTCACAAAGGTTAGAATCCTAAAAATGAAACTCAATGCTGGAAAACTTTCTTCAGTGACACAGCAAAGTTATGAAAATTTCCCTTTTGGTAGTGGCAATTGTGGTGGTATAAGATTTATTAACTTTTTTCTTTTTTTTTTCAACTTTTAGCTCAAACAATGGTGGATGGGTGCAGTTTTGAAGAATAGTAATTATCATACAAAAATATTAAGATCAATTWAATGGAACAATATCTTTAATCAGTGGAGAGATGAGGTATAAAAAAGTAATGTTTCATCATTTTTAAGTACAAAATTACTTAAATATTTTCAAACCAGAACTCAAACATTATTCTAGAAAAGAGTATTCTCTATGGTGACAATAATTTTTCTTAGCAACGGTAAYGAGAGGAGTCTATTTACAAACTTGTACAAAAGTAGTTTATCTGTTTTCAATAGTAATGATTGTGAAAAAAGTCCRTGTAATATAGTGAGTACGCTTTGTCTGATTGGCCCCTTGATACTACACTTTGATTGGTTAATACCACAGACATTGACGTAAATATTTTGTTTCGGGTRTTGTGATTGGATTAAATTTTTCGCGCCAAAACTCCTTACACGTGCGCGCGTGCGTTCGTTTAATTTGCGCACGCCTCGAAGTATAAACCTAAATGAAATAACTGAATATTTCTGGAATATTGTAAATCAGTTAATTAATTCATATAATGAGACATAATGACTAAATTTAAATAAATAAGTTAAATTTTAAATSAATTGTTCTTATTTGTCAATAAAATGCGTCGATATTTTATCAGTTTTAATTTTACTTTACAGTAGTGAGAGCGGACTTCACTGAGAAGTTCATGCAATTAAAATAGAAGTTGCAAGGAACTGGTTGATATATCTAAACTGAAACTAAAATTCATACTTTTTCAACTTTTTKMACTTTTTTCTTTTGCAATAATATCCCCCAACTTTTCCGAGTTCAAAAACCGCCMCGGCTTTACGATTCTTCRCTTTCATGTCCTTCCGAATAWATACAAATGAGATTAAGAAGTCTTTCAAAGGCTTATATTGGACTGGACGGGATTTCAAAGTCGGCGCAATTAGTTCCAGGTCATTATTGCATTACTTGAAAAATCCTGGAATTTTATGATTGAAAATGAATCGCTTTCCCTGAAGAGACTTGATTTTTATCATTTAAAACAACATTTGGCACTAAATTTACCATTTTGCAGAATTATAACTTTACTAGCAGTATCTGCCGAAAAAAGGATTATAAAAAGATGACGTGCGATTCCAATTTCTTTGCAGTAAAAGCTTACCGACTGGGCTATTATGAACCTATTGTACACAAACCAGCCCATTACCGACGTTATCAGTTTAATTAGCAACGTATACAGAACGGTCCGGCGCTTTGTTTATTCGGCAAATAACTTTTATAAAATATAAAWGACCATAATGGCGGAGAGAAACTTTGAACCGAGAAATACCTAAAAATAAGTACGTTGTTACTTTGAATATTGAAAAGACATTGTTGCCTAACATTTCAAAACAACGTATTTACGATGATTAATCGTAATTAATCATCTTTTGATRATAATTGTAATACTCAACGTCRGAGATGCTCTKKCTTAAGGTACCGACGAATCCTCGGCGGGAGTCGTTYCTTCCCTCGGCATGAGGTCGGTACAGCGCCACAGGGCWTTCGGAATTGATCGTTTTTTGCTGCCGATCACAGCATGACCTTTCTCAGTTAATACAAGATCAATTAGTATACTAATTGATATCATGAACAATGATTTAATCAAACAAATATTTATTATGTTATATTGAGTAAAATTTTCTTTATGATTGCGCCGAGAAGTCCATAGTCGTAGATTGAATTTATTCGCGCTACTGAAATGACATGAATCAAGAGGGAGAATGGATTTTGTGCGGGGCAAGTGTGTGTGCTGATTTGATGAAAACAAATCTTACTAGACCTTACTACAGTAAACAATGTGAATACCCAATAGTTTTTCCTTACAAAAAGTAATTCATTACAACTTTTTTTACAACATTTATTTTAATTTATTTCCATCCTTTTATATTAAAAGTTATTAACATAAATAATATATAAAGATTAACATTTAGCAATATTTGTGGTTTTATCGCGTTTTAGTTACCATCATATAAAGCATCTCTATGTACAACACTGTTTTATAAACTGTACACGATAAATTTCCCGCATAGGTATATCAATATATCATGATCAAAAGAATTATGTAGAAATATTTATAAAGCSTGTTTCAAACGCTAAATCTCACATGTGCCATAAGTCAAATGAATCAGATTTCGGCACTTGTCCGAAATTCACGTCAAATACGACAAATACAGTATATAAAAACATTTTGTCCGAAACTTGAGCAGACTTTCTAGAATAAACTCAGTGATTCCTATCTTGTATTTTGTATGAAAACGTCTAATAAATGTCGTTTCGAAAAGTATTTTTAATTGTAAATTTTAGTTTTGAAAATATGCAATAGCGTTTGTTTTAAAAAATGCCTGCTTTATCTGTTTCTTTGTTTCATTGTATCCCATGTCTAATARTTTTCCTGTAATAGTTTTCTAAGTCTAGTTTCACCATTCCTTCCTTCCTTTTTTCTTGATGTCAGAGCTAAAAATAGTAAGCGCGCACCCTCTTCAGTCAAAATGCCTAAATATCATTGCCTGAGTGTWTAAATGCTTTCAATCACCTCTTAAATGACACACTCAAGAACAACTTACTATCTCATCCTTAAGCCACAGACRACCACATAACAGAGGATGCCAAAAACGATAACGCAACACGATGGTAAGTCTACCGCAAAGTCAGATATTTTATCTTTGTTTCTCTGTCTGTTATCTAGTTCATCTCCAATCCATGCCAAATCKCGACCAACGTGGGTGCATGGTGAGGTCTCAAAATGTTGCGGTGGTGGGCAGTGTTTAAGTTCAAACTTTTCCTTATCTAACTTATCTCCTAACCATCTTAGATAAGTTCCAATATATTTKCGGTTCTGTTTTTCAATTTTTTTGTCTTGCGAATTTGATTCTGGAGATCTTGCGGTTTCATGGATTCGTTCTTTGGTTATACTGACTTTGTCAAACCAATTTTCTGCCATGTTATGCGATAACTGTGGTATCCGTTACAGTTTCTTTGTTGAGCGTTTTGTCCGGAACTAAGGATTTGTTACGAGTTAAAGACTTGTGTTTGAAGGATATAGTTATTCCGGAGTCCACTTGGCWCTGATGACCACAAACTGTTCTAGTGTCTTATGAGGGAATCTCTAATTGAATCAGTCTTTTGATCACTCTTGAAGCGGTSTAACTGAAGTAAATGCGTCCAAAACTTTAAAAGTTGACTTGAGTAAACTTCAAACCACTGATGAAATGATGTGCTAAAGATACGCAGTTCCAGTTAAAATGTTTCCCTTGAACTGTGTAGACTGCAGTACATCTGTATAATTGACCTTTTGTGATCAATACTTGTGGAAACCGCCTGGGGACTTTGTATTTGTCACATCTTCATCGATTCTCAACGTGCATAGGCCTGTCTATACTTTTCTGGCAAACGGTCTTCAATTTTTGCTTTTGACAAAACAAAGAAAAGTAAACATTCGACAAAGAAGCCGAAGTTGAGCCGTCAAAAATCCACARAAATTGCGCGCGCGCAAAAATGGTGCCAAGAAAGTTCGCTGTCTTCTTTTCAAATTTCTTGTTAATGTATATTTTTTGAGAGACGTTTCAGGCAAAGAAATCTGTTTTTTTATCAATAGGAAGGTTTTTTAAGTGTTTTTGCGGCCTCTTTTCGCATGCCGATGTGTTTGAAGAGTTAGTACCGAAGTTCGCGGCCGACGATGACTAGGACCAAACTTCATAGGCACCGAATATGTCGTGCGGAAACTTTGATAGTTGGTCACTAGTCTTTTACTTAAAAGTAAGCGACTCTCTTTTACATCTGAATGATTGGCATTCTTTCTAATCGTCCGAATTGGCCTTTTCACGACCAATATCAAAATGATAACATGGCTTGTTTGGAAGGCATTTTTTTCTGTTGTTATTGCAGTTTTTGCGTACCCGGAAGCCATTACACGGTATTGTTCTTATGTTGACCTTGGATTAGTTCACCTTGGATTACATTAGGCCATATCAACAATTCAATATATCAATTTGATTCTAATAACTATTAAATGATGTAATATACCGAAGGGGTTTCCCCATGAATAAGGGGTTTTCCCTTACATTGAAAATAGGGAAAACATTCGGTATTTGRATGGAAAATCAGCATTTTGCCGTGATATTTACGTCAAAATCCTCGGTATTCATCAATTTCAAGATATATATTGTGCAAGGTAAATTTTTGTTGAGAAAATTCTACGCTGTTAAGAACAAATACATAAAATTTAACACAATAWCTCACCARATTCCCATATGGTCTAGTGGTTAGGATCCGGCGCTCTCACCGCCGTGGCCCGGGTTCGATTCCCGGTGTGGGAAGAGTTTGATTTTTTCTTTTTTTTTTCTTTCCTTCAGCTAAATTTTCTCACCAGACTTGCATTTCCCGTTTTTATACCACAACTAAATTTAATACGAATTTTTGGATGAAAAGTTTTCAGTTTCAACTCCCACAATGCTTAGGTAAACAATAATCGCTTAAGTCACGTGTTCGATTTCGGTCTCGACATCTTTGCCTGTCGCTTTGTCGTTCATCTATTATCTTTGACTTTGCGACTTTCAACGACGCCCGAAATGTCCACAAAAGAGAAGTATATATGGAGTTCAAGGGAAATTGAAGTGTTTATATCGCTATGGGAGAATGAAGACGTTCTGTACAATACTCAATGCATCGATTATTTCAAACGCGATAAACGAATCGAGGCTTTGGAGCGAATAAGCGACACGCTTAAAATATCGAGTAAGTTTTGCTTTAAATATTTCATACCTTGAGAGCTCATAATAAGTAGATAAAAGAATGTAATTTGTCGGACAAGTTGAAAGACCGATTCTGTCGAAAGTCGCGCTTTGTCGGTACGATTTTATACGCCAATGACAACAATGTGGATTTAAACTTTGTAGGCCTTTTGAATATGAGAATATGTTGCATGCGAATTATGTTGGGGGGAGTGGAAGGTATTTTTATTTTATTTTTTTTGATTATGACAATTAATTTTTTTCCCTTTCAAGATTTCATTTTATTTCCATTTTTCTATTTGCATTTTCTCCTTTTTTTTTTCTTTTTACTTTCTTTTTTGAAAATTTTGATTTTTTTTATAGAAATTCCACATCAAAAGGGACAAATAAGAATAATAGTATGGTTGACTTTTGTAGTTCCAGAAATAAGAAAGAAAATGACCAACTTGCGCACATATTATGCCAAAGAGTTATGGAAAGTCAAAAAGACTGAAAATGAAGGTGATGCATCCAAAGTGTACACATCAAGATGGGTGTTCTTCAAGCCTTTAGACTTTCTACGTGACAACTGTAATCCAAGACATAAAGGAGAAGACAATGAAAGCTTGCAAGTGTACRCTACTGAAGAAGATGCTAATGACAGCAATGATCACTGGGATGATTCAAATCTATTAGCTTCCTTAGCAACAGCAGTGAATGGTGATAAGGATGATTCAAARGAGAATATTGTTGAAGAGGAATTAGTAGAGGATTCATTATCAAATGAACATGGGAATCTTTCAGGGACATCGSCCATTTCAATGGTACAGATTAATACTCATGAAAGTCCTAAAGCTCCTGATCGTACTTGTAATRCACGGAAAAGGACAGGCGAGGACTTAGAGAGTGTAATTGCGAAGTTACGGAGAACTAAACCAGAAACAAAAGCACAAAATAAGAGYACTTTGGGACATAGAATTGATCTTACATCTAATAATCCAGATATGGTTTTTGCTCACCATGTTGGACTTACATTGATGAACATCGGAGACAATAAAGTAAAGGACCTAGCAAAGTTGAAGATTCAACAAGTTCTTTTTGAAACACAGTATGGACATGAGGCAATGCAATCYGTAGAAGTTCAAGCTTATCCAATCACAAACTAATTGAAATCCACCCTATGTAAATTTACTTTGTTTGAACAATTATTAGGATTTCGGATGCTTCAAAATTTCCACGAATTTAATAATTGACAATGTTGATGAAATATTTTTTTACTGAGGAACATTTCAACGTTAACTAAACTGTATTTATCAACTGATCAAGTTGCTCCATAAAATTTGATTTGTTTCCATAGCAACCAAATGTTATATAAGGAATTTACCACGTTATTTATCCCATTTTGAGGGAAGGAGACTTGAAAGTCTATTCCGTCATAATTGATTGTATTATTGTGTTAAGGGATTTAATGAAAATATGTTAATAAAGTATTGATTTTTTTTTTAAATGTTTGAATAAAAAAATATATGTTGACAGCTCAATTATTGAGTGCTTTTCACCACAACTGCTATAAATTTATCTTTAYATTAATGTTTAATAAAAAGAGACCAAAATAGGAGCAGGCTATTTTTGTGCTAATGTATAATGTATATGTGTATAATAGAAATACGTCATATGTGATGTCATGTTAGTATTGTAAGCATGCGCAGTAGTAGGTAAAGGGACTTACCCCCAGCATCGTTGGTTGGCAAGAACGCCATTGCTATCATCATGGCGGACTTAAATAGCAGCCTTACTGCGATGGACTGGCTGCCCAAACTCAGTGTTGGTAGTGCACTGAGTGGGCAACATGTAAACAAYAATAATAACAACAACGATCCTCTGAAAGATAAACTCGGAAGTCGAAAAATCGCTGGCTCACCGCTCGATACTGGAGCCGTTTTGGACGAAACAGAGGCTAGGCAACACCAAACTCGCGAAAGCAAACCTCCTTATTCATACGCTAATCTCATTACTTTTGCGATAAACAGCTCGCCGAAGAAGAAAATGACTTTGAGTGAGATATACCAATGGATAACAGATCATTTTCCGTACTATAAAGATGCTGGAAATGGATGGAAGGTAAGATTATGTCTGTGAAACGTTTGCTCTACTTGCGTGCGAAAAGGACTTCTGGKTTTATTATAACACAGCGGTATTCATTTCTTAACTTGTTATTTCACCAGAATTCAATACGACATAATCTATCGCTAAATAAGTGCTTTATGAAAGTACCCAGAAGTAAAGACGATCCCGGCAAAGTAAGTTAACCACAGATTGTCCCAACTACTTCATCGTGTAGACTCTAGTCGTTGACGTTGCACAGAAGTGAAGGCGTGATTTCATTTTTCTAGGGTTCCTACTGGGCCATAGACCAAAATCCACAAGAAGATCCAATCCCTWCAAGRCAGAATAGGAAACGAAAAGAACCTGGCGATTCCCGGGTAAGAAAAACTGTTAGCCATGTTGTTGTTCTAATGTTTCCCGCGAACATTTCCAGTCATCACCTTCTACGAGACAGACGAGACACGAACTAAGTGTATTTTATTTACTTTTCTATGTAAGCAATTTCTTCATCTCGAATTACTCAGTTTGCCTAGTTACAAGTAAAAATACTCACAAAATTAGCGCGTCCACTGAACCTAAGTGGCGCTAAWGGTGTGAATCTTTTAGTGCTCTGAAAATTTGTGTTTCTAGGTTGTTTACAAACAGCAGCGTGGCACAATTTAAGGAAAAATTATTGCATGTGCTCTGATTTGTCACGAGATTGCAAAGAAAGCCAGTAATTTACTGTTAATGACCACGAAGCTACAAAACGAGCATTTGTAGAACTCACTCGTGCATATAATTGATATTCACTTTACGCAGTCAATAAAACATGTCTAGAGAAAGATTATTATCATGATTTACGCTAAAACCATCACAATTATAATCGTCCTTCAAAGTTTTGATATAAGATTACAAATGACGTTGTAAAATTRGTTKCAAAATATTTTTGCTTTTAAAAATATGTATCTTTTATTTTTGCCTTGTAACATATGTCCCCTAGTGGGTGGGCTTTTAACACAGATACTTTGTTGAAATATTGTTATCAGACTGAACCACAATGATCACATGAATAATGTTTTACAACATTACATAGATTTTTCTTTAAAAAGCTAGCAAAATACAAAAGCAGAAAAATTTTTTTTTTGAGTTTTAAAATTTGAGTTTTCGTGTTAGTTTTACTCTTATTTCTTACAACAAAGGAAGCTTTGGCAAAATTTTGGAAGTATTTAATATAGCAGGTTTTTAGAGACTGAAAAAATGAGCTATAAGAAACGATGAATAAATTCAAATTCATAAAACAAAAAAATGAACTGCTGCTGTAATATTTTTAGTATATTTTAAGCACCATTTTGTCAACATAAACCCTCTAAAAACATTATCTAATGGAGTTTTATATTATGCACTTTTCAAAGCAAATCTTCTTAAGTTAAATAAATGCCGTTTTTTTCTAAAATCTTTCCCAACTTATTGGCCAGGAACCTAATGCATTAAGAGCTGACAAAGATGTCTACTTCATAGTTATCTGTCTGAAGATTTATCTAGTTATATTAAGCAAAATGTGATATCTTTTAAATTCATTGGGCACCAGCTGGTTATCCGAAGCTGGTTAAAGCTATCTCCTTGATAGATTTCATATGGATTTTATCTGCTGAATTAGGATTCATTCAATATGTACATCAGGAGTGTTCTGGAGAACAATGCGTCCGCCATCTTGAAAAGTGGTACTTGAATCACTAAATTATTATATTCCTAAAAAAATTACTAGTAAATGGTTCTAAGTTAATGTCAAGTTTAATAATACAATATAATGATAGATTAGTTGACTTTAGCAACTACGAAATTTGTTCTAAGGCACAACATAGTGATTTTCATCTCACTTTTCAAGATGGCAGACGCATTGTTTAGATAGTTTAGATAGATAGTTTATTTACAAAAACATTTTTACAAGGCAAGACAGTTTTACAAGGACTGAAATGCGTAAAAATTTACATGAATTGGAATCTACTATAACATTAAAAATTGGACATGGCGGGGAAAAAACTATATTTAAAACGATTTGTTCAGGCTTTGTATGCTTTGTTCTCCAAAAACTCCTGATGCATATATGCAAAGAGTTTTTCACCCTTCCGACAATTTCTCCAAGGAATGATTAGTATTTAAACTAAATAACCACAGTATTTACCATGAATTTCTCATGTAATTGTGTCTTTTTTCTTCAGCTCTCACCTTATGGAACTGATGAAAACAACTTGTCTCCATCAAGCAGTCACGGATCAAATCACTCCACATCATCATGCCATTCTCCAACACTAGCGTCAATTCAAATGGATCAATATTATGGGCTACAGCAGGGTCAGTATCTGGGAACGTCACCGTCTTCGTCAGCTAACTTAAGCCAAGGTGCAATGGGMAACCCGGGTGAACTAAACAATTCAGATAATTTTGGTGAACCRCCRCACAAGATTTTCCCTGAGATTGCTTTTGAAGATCTGAGTGCATCCTTCAAGAATTTATACAAGTCAGTTTTTGACGCATCACAGACTGGTGGATCATTTGGTAAGCTTGGATATGAAGCCCTAACACTAACTTAAGAACTAATATAAAACGACGCGTGTGTCTCTGTCCTCTGATATAAAGACGGTGGGAGTTGAAAAACATGAGAGAAGCAAGCTTAAAAACATGAGCTTTGCGAGTGTTTCTGAAGTGCTTTTCAACTCCCACYGTGTTTATATCAGAGGACAGAGACAAGCGGCTGTTTTGTAGTATAAACATGGTKGTCAGACAACCAGTGAAAATAACTTACATGTTCAATTAAACACTGCTTCGTCTACGTTTGTATATGTTTAATTTCCGAGCTTTCGGATCATTTGATCCATCATCAGGGACTAGTGATACAAATGAATTAACTAGCGGTTGAAAAACTAAACACAGARAAATCTTAAAACTTACATGTTACTGTTATTGGTCTCGAAYTGATTTTTATCTTTCTAGTTATTTKTTAGGAYCACACCTAAGATTCCTATTACAAACTACATTATTTTCTTATAYATGATTGTGATCATGCAGGGTACAAATAAAGTCTCTATTCTTCAGGGCTATGATTGAAATTACAACAGTTTTTTAGAATGGTTATGCCCTTGCACAATCACGCATTTTAAATTATAATGTCGTTCGCTTTTTTTATACCAGCAAACATGAGAAACAATGATCCCAATGCGCAAAGCATCCCRACACCATCATCTTCAAAYCAACARCAACAGTACATCATGCAAAACATGGAAACTTTGATGGAAAGCATAAACAAAGGCAATCTHCAAAGTCTTGACTTAAATCAATGGAACAACCTCATGGAAAGCATGAAAGACTTTGATTTCCAAACACTAGGACTAGACGCTAATCAATGGCAAGAACTAGCATTCTCTTTTAGCCAGTATATATCTCAACAAAGCATTGATAGTGCGTCGACGTCATCATCTAGTTTGCTTCAAAGTTCTAATCAACATAGTCCGTCCTATTGTACAAGCACTCCACAGTCTTCATTACACGGATCACGGGCCAGCTATAACAGCTCGGCAAGTTTTAGCGGTGGTTCTAATCACTCACAGTCCATTCCTGGCATTAAGATCACGCCKGTGTCCAGGACGGTTCATGGTGGCGCACAGCTTGATGATGATGACGAGGAAGATTTCGACTGGGAGTCAATTATGTAGACAATCTGGTAATTATTATACTGTAGGTTGGTGTGTCATTAAGGAGAATATAGACTTTGGTCAACCTTTTTTATTACAACTGGAATGATTGAAATCTTCTCCCATCATAGGCCAGATGTACAAAGGGTAGAATAATCTCATTATGTGAGATTCCACCCTATGCACAACTAGCCATGAACTCTGACACTAGGATACTTTACTGAAAGTCATAATCTTCTTAACTTATATAATCAACAAATGAAAAGATTTTTAAGGAATTCATGTCTGATCAAATTCTCCCAATGTAACATGATTTTAATCCTTGTAGGAAGAATTTATGATTTGATCAGATTGTTGAGTAATGCATGTGAATAGTAGGGTTTAACATGTACAGATCCAAAAATGTAACCATAATATTAGTTTTAATGTCTCATCTTAATATATCCATGGCAAGGATGGARCAACTTTCCTTGTATTATTTATTACTGCTTACTAAGGTGAGCTTTTGTTGCTATGTGGTAATGTCTAAATTCCCAGACATAGTGAAGTGATGTTACTTGGCAATGCCCAACGATTAATGTTTTGCTAACATTTCTGAGGGTTAATTAGGGTTATTGCTACCTATTGAAATCCTTGAAAAGCCCTAAAGTTGAAAACTCATTTTCATGGRCACTTGAAAAGCTCTTGAAAACAAGAAAAAAACACTAAGACTCTTGGAATTCTCCTTGAATAGGTTGCATTCAACACGGTTTTTTTAAACTTTTTCATTAAAATGAGCTCTTTGTCAGAAATCATGCTGGAAACATCTAGAAACCTAGGGGCGCCATCTTGCTTCGAAACCAGACGGCCATTGAGCGTGCAATGATAGAAACCTTCTTTCACACCTACAGACAATTATTCACAGGTATCTATCATTGCATGTATGGTTGTCTTGCTTCGATGTAAAGGCGTGGCTTATTGTAAGTAAACTTTCCACAGTTTGAGAAGATATCTTTTCATATACATTGTAAACTGTGGTTCTTTGGTGACAAGGAGAGTTGAATTTACCATAACTCTGTCATTGAACTTGTACATAATTAATATATTTGAAGTATATTTTTTAAAKTGTTGGAGCGATAGCACTAAAACCTCMGAAAAATGCCAGTAAAAATGTCATAAAAGAAGCAAGTCTTGACTCACTTTAAAACTAGTAGAGATGTTTGATAGACTGAATTTTTGTGCTCAATATTTAAATTGACTTTTAAAGGTATAGGCAGATTGATGAGGTTTGTGCCTCATCAGTTCAGATACTTCTGAAGACTCAAKGCTATGATACAAAATGGCAAAATTGTGATCTTTCAGAAAATCTGTAGTTAACTTCAGCTAAATATTGTGCTGTGKTATAAAACTGAACCYAAAGGATACAAAAGCTTTATTTTCAACCCTACATCTGTCAAGCATATCCACCATGTTTACAAGGGAGTCCCTTGGGGGAAGGGGGTTAGTATTATCGCTCTAAAGGGTGTTTTCAAAGGTTCTTAGTCGTAGAAATCATAGAGTGAACACTTATAAGGTTATTTTCACATTTGAGTCTTAAACAGTTGTTTAAGCTGCAAGCAGGCTTGCTTTTATTATCATGGATTAGTTTTAGTAAAGCGTGAAATGTACTGTGGTAGTATCAAAATGTGTATAAACCATCAAAACATTTGTCTATTTTTGTCCTGTTATTTTCAAACTATATTATCATGACTCAAACCATTGAACGCACACGTAGCCAGCATTAGTAGACTTCTTGGGATCCCTGTGATAGGGAAAAAGGGGTTCTACGTGGGCCAAATACTTCAGTTTTGAATTCTCTTTCATGCAGGCTTAGCTTCAATAAAGCATAAATTTTTATTGCCTTCTTTGACAGTGTTTGCATAACAGTAGATTCTCTGCTGAATAAAAGAGTATATAACATGCTTTTGAGGTTGAGGCTGTACAACAAGATCTCGAAACTGGAGTGTAGTATTCATGCAGTGACATAAGCAGAGTTATTATTTATAAGACTTCAACATAAGCACAAGCATAAGACCAAATATATTAACAGAAGAAAAAACAAAGAAAAACAGAGTCTGTTTACATGAGATAGGGTGCCCCCATGTGGAAGGGCCAAACTCTTTTGTTTTATATCTTCCAGGGAATAGAAAACAAAATTTAGCCCTASTACCTTGTTGTCAACATGGCAAAGTTTTCCTTTTCTAGGTCCCATTCACACTGTTTTCCACAAGCTCCTTTGRAAACAACTTTTCAATTCCAGGACTTTTCAAGGAGTAGCACAAAGCCTGATAGAGTACAAACAATAAAACTGTGCAACATAAATACCACTAAATACGGCTAAATTATGCTAATTCTATTTTCTATTGTTTAATTRACACTATTTTGTAGTAAATAGTGGAAAGTATTGCACACATTTAATGTTTGTACTCTAGTAGATTCTGATACTAACAAAGACGGGAAACTATGACTCACTCAGTACAAGATACACATTAAACTTTAATATCTTTATTAGTGCAAAAACAATTCAAAAACTGGCAATTACAAAATGRTTTGAACTACAATGAATGACAATACTAGTCTGCTTTCACTTTGCCTTCTTCACGGTGATGCAAGAATACAATGGCAAACACAAACAAACCTATCATCATTGAGAATGCACTGGCATAGTAGGGATAGGCAGACGGGATAAATCGTTCATATTGAGTATGCTGTTTGGGACGCACGGACACCTAAAAAATAATAATTTATGATATAATTAGTAGTGGCAGTAGAAAAGCATGTGGACTATTGCACCTAAAAAAATAACACATTGTTTACCTGTGTCTTGCTGTTTAAGTATGTGTAGCCAATGCGATTGTATTCTACTTTGAATTGAAACACGCCATACACGTCAGGCAGCTTGAACTGTGCWGTGAACAATCCCTCTGTAAAAGCAAGCCACAAAAATGTTCAATAAAACAAACTTCTTTCTGAGAGATATATGTTTTTCAAAACAAGCATCAAGAAAATATTCTAGATCTGCTATATAATTAGGGTATCATGGACAGAAACTTATCTGAGTCCAAGTGTTTTAAGTCTATTTTCCAAGGTTATAATATGAGTATCTTTGTTTTCACTGTTTCGTGTTTTGTTTTGTTTTGTTGCACTAAATGTAACTAAATGTATTATGTATGTTTATTATATTGGAATAATAATAATAATAAAAAAAACAAGCATCAAGACTTGTTCATCACTTCTTTACAGTTCYTTGTTCCCTCTTGAAAGCTGTGCCTAAGTTGAGTCGGAGAAAAACGCCAAGTGCACATCCAATGACAGATATCCTTTTACACCACTGTATTTATTACTGTTTGTCATGCTCTGATTCAAATGTAAGGTTACATGTACCTTTCAAGATGGTACAACAACAAGGAACTGTGAAGAAGACTATAAAACTAGTTGTTTAACAGTGCAACTTTTCTGGCTGCTAATCAGAAACCGTGGTAAGAGCAGTCATACCATTGAAGGTCCTATAGAGCTAATATAGGTTATCATCATGAGCTGCCAGAAAGCCGACATAACACTGTGCCATATACACCTATTTCAAAAAATGTTGTCGTCGCCAGGACACAGAGCACGGTCTTGAGCCTGCAATGAATCTCGGGATTGCCATATAAAATTATATATTCAATTTTAGTTATTTAAAATACTCCGATTTAGAGTTCTTGCTGGTCTGTGTTAGTCTCAAAWCTAAGCAACTTATTCTTTTGTTTCATTGACAGCCCGAGAATACGCATGGAATTTGAAAAGAGAGACAATAGAATTGATTTGAAATCTCACACTTTTATTCAGCACAATCAGGAATATTTTGCGCATAAATAAGGCTGACACAGAGCATTAGAGAATTCGAAACTGGATTATTCTAGATCTCGTAGCAAATATAGCTTTGAAACTCATTGACGGTTTGAAAGTGTGGAATATTTTTCAAGGAAAATGTCTCGTCAGTGGCGAGACATGCCGCAATAGTATATTAGCAGTGCTTACGGCATTAAATTCAAACCATAATATATTTTGAATATATTAATTACGCATGGAAACCCCGAGATTCTTTGCAGTCTCAAGACTGTGGACTGTGTCGTGGTGATGACAACGTTTTTTGAAATAGGTTTACATGTGCACCTACTGTAGTTCAAAGTATCCTCACCTCTTGTCCTGTTCAATGTGGTCCTCACAAAAGGGTCAATTCTAAAGAACTCCATCTGGACATCACTTGCTCTGAATGGCTGCCAYTGACCATTGACCAACTCTTCAATTTGGATGCTGTAGAACTAATAAAAAACGTTGGATGTTACTGCTACAGTACAAACATTACATGTGTGCAACACTTTCCACTATTTAGTACAAAATAGTACAAAATAGTGTTCATTAAACAATAGAAAACAATAGAATTAGCATAATTTAGCAGTATTTAGTGGTATTTATGTTGCACAGTTTTAGATAGTGTTTGTACTCTAAGAAACGTTTTGTAAGCATCGTATAAAGACAGAGCACTTACAACATTGTCCTCGATGGTGTATGCTGCTGGAGGCTCAGTTTGTCCAACTTTGTGATGTTTGACTTCATTAACACGCAGTACACCTTGTTGTTTGAAGACCCAGTCAGCTAAAGCAGMRGCCAAGTCCTGATTGCCTGACTTGGAATATCTGAATGGTACAAAAAGAAAAATTGTTGTGAATGAATACTAATACCAGAAAATATTGAATTGCTATCAAAGTCAGTTGCCCATTGTTTAAGACTACATTGATGCATTGAATGTGTCAAACTAATACTAAATTTTGATAAACAGCATAACAGACTAAAATGAATAGTTTCAGGATGTATCTGGTTCTGTTAATGCAGTCTTATTGCTTTGAAAGAATAGTCATCTTCACTGTTCCCTACACTATCTTGAAAGGTATCGGTGCCTTTGCATGGGAGCAAGAAGACCGTTGAGCGTGCAATGATAGAAACCTTCTTTCGCACCTACAGACAATTATTCATAGGGATCTATCATTTCACGCTTAACGGTTGTCTTGCTTCAATGTCAATGCATGTCATCTTTTTACTTACGGCTTTGATCCTGCTTTGGAGCTTTGGACAGGCTTTTGGAAAAACCTATAAAAATTAAACACAATACACATAAAATTAATCAATACATATAGTTAGAAATAATTATTTTGAGTTACATGTAGATCATCTGCATGACTTTAGTATTCACAAGCAGTTTGAAGCACAAACTATGGCTGAATGAAACAAGAAACACAAGGTGCTGCTTAGCTTTCAAGTGTCAGTTACTTTAAAATACTGTCACAACTTAGAAATTGCTATGGCCATTGCAACACAATACTAAAGCCATGGACTGCTATAAGTAGTGTAAAAATTCAACCTAAATGAGTTGCAAATTCCACCCTTGGTTATGTCTAAGTTTGTATTTTTTTTGTTTTGTTAAGTGTAAGGCATGGCTGCCTACATGTAGTTGTGCCGGCAAGAGGCACATGTACAAAAAGCTAAACTAAGTAATGAACATCTATACATACTCATCACTAAAGAAGTCAATAGATCCAGAAAACACAACTCTTGCATTGTTTCTAGCTTGAAGGGCAGCTACCAACAGAGTACTCTTGCCAACGGCATGTGGATACTAAAATGGAAATCAGTTGTATCATTAAAACAACTTCATGGGAGAATGATGAATGAATGAATGGTTTGGAAAATGTATCAATGAGAGAATAGATGGGAAAATGTATGAACGAGAGAATAGACAGGAAAATGGATGAACGAGAGAATGGATGAATGGATGGGAAAATGGAAGATTGAATAAATGGATGAATAAATGACTGAATGGATGAATGAAYAATAAATAACATAAATAAGAGGAACAAATTAATGGTAAATCAAGACTAATAATACCTCAGAGATCTTTGTATCRGTGAAATAGGAATAAGCTGTAGATGAGGCTGTGACCACTTCCAATACCAATGGATTATCAACATCAGCAGTCATTCTAAAAACAMAATCATCTCAATATTACCTTTATTTCCTAATTTCATTACTTCACCGCAAAGAACAGAGATATTTTCACAGAGAATAACACAGAGAAACCTCTGGAACCTGGGTATACTTTCATCTTTCCTCTGGGGGAGGGGGGACAGCAAAATAATGACCCAAAATACTCATTTTATAACCTTAGAGGGGTGAGGTTGTGACATACTATACTCAATGGTAGAACCATTTGTATTGCTTGGGGGGGGGGGTAGGGTCGGATTGGGGGAGGGAGAGTAGGGGAACAGATGACCCTAGGGGGGCTAGGACAAAAAACTCACCCTACACCCTTGAATAACAATGGACTGYTGACTTTCTTTCCAGTAACTGTTGGTGCTTGAATAACACGGCTTGGTTCAGCAACAATCAGAGTGTGCTTAAAATTGAAAAAAACAACAACAAGTCAGTATTACTAGTAGAGCAAACTACTCCTTCTGAACTTTAGCATAGCACAAGCGCCCTGACTTTTATATAGCCATACGATATCCCCCCTCCCATCCAGGAGGATACTCACCTGGTCAAGATCTGAGACRTCATGATTGATGTGGTCAATAACAGAGGTCTTGTCTTCATCAAACTCTACTCCACACTCGCTTCCAAGCTCACGCARTGGATCACCTACATTTAATGTCAAGAAAAACATTGGTAAGATCACTGTTTCAAATCTTATTCATGGTAATAAAGGTGCCTTCATGGAATTAAAAGAAAGAATGGATGGGAAGAAAGATGGTTTGATTAGATAGAYTGATGGCAGTTAACAAAATCACTCACCAATRGAAGAGCTTCCAGCAACAAGGACGTTACCACCTCCATCAATGAAGTCTGTGATTGCTCTAACATTTAGAGAGCCACCAAACTCCTCAACAGATGGTGAAAAAATGACGAGGTTATCGTACAAAAATTCACCATATTTGACCAGGGCAAGACTTGGGTCATCGGCTGTCCTGTAAGTCAGCTCAAAACCTTTTTCTGMAAGATAAAATGTAAACAATTGTGAGGATTTACCAATAAACTCRTAAAATTGAATGTTTTTGAAACCCTCTAACAAAGTTTTAATAATAAATGAAACYGTAAAAAGTGAAAATGCTCCTCACAAAGCATTTTAATAACAAAAAAGTTTTTTTTTGAGTTCTTATGTAACTGCATTGAAAAGTGAAAAAGTAATATCAAAAGGCAAGAGTTTTATATTTGTTCCATTTTGTTTTAAATATTGACCCCCTTAAAAAGTAAGCTAAAAGACATAACAAAACGAAGACAAAATTGTTATACCATAGAATTAACATAGTTAAGAGAGATTAATCTACAAATTCAATTAACATTCAAAGAAATCGCGTTCCAAATTGCAAAGAAAAATAATTCACTTCGACTGATCTGAGAACAATGGAAGCCGGGAGCAGTTCAAGTGAATTTGCATTTCTTCGTGTTCTCACCTTTTAGAGTGCCAAAAAAGATGGAATGAGTCTCCTTTGTGTTTGCATTGTCTATAAGGACAAGGGTCCTTTTCCCTGCAAGCGARAAACTGCACAAAGAAAGGAGAAAAACTGCTAAAAAGCCAGCAAGACGACACGTGTCCATTTTGAAAGAAGAGATCGAAGGAAGGAAAGAGAGGAGCCTCGGTCTGATGTTTGACTTGACAGTCTCCCACTCGGCCTTGTCATACAAAGGAAACCCACTAAATATATTTTCTATTTTATTTCTTATCGGTTTTTATTCTTATCTGTTCTTATCAAAAACTTTCTTAAATGAAATTAATATCCTTTAAAATTTTAACAACCAGCATTAGAATAATAAAGTGGTAAAATTATGCTCACACGGGTTGCCTGTGTTAAAYACAGGATGCTYTCACCATATTTAGTAAATAAGKCCATATTTGGCAGGTGGTAYGGAGATAGGGGTGTCTGTAGCGAAAATGGCGGTCTRAGMTTCCAAGTGTTTTCAAGTTATCAAGGTTTAGAMGTTCATTTCAGCTCGMAAAAGCCTCTTTTTGACCTGAAAACCGTCCTTGAWCTCAAATACAGATTCATCTTTGTATATAAGGCTTCAAAGTGAAATTTAATCTTGGAAAACGACAAAAATGATCGGAGGATTGTTCATATACAATCACAAGGGAGAGGTCCTCATCTCTCGTGTCTATCGAGACGATATTGGGTACGTTATTTACTCGTTTGATTTCTTAATTGATTTGCTATAGACTAATGTTGTCTTTCCTACTTGGAAACAGCTTTTGCTAACTTTAATGTGCACTAATTCCTATGACTTATTTAAAGGTGTTATTTTTGAAATGTACTGTACTAACTGTTACTGCCGGCGAATCAAGCTCAAAGCTGCTTCAAAACGAATAAATATACTGAATTCATATTTTCAACATCTAGCAGTTCTTGTCATTCAGT